GACCAGGAAAAAAGTCAGTCCCTCCACAAGGTTGAAGTMCAGGAACTGAAAAGCATCTATAGTCCCTGTTGGTATATTAACAGCTGTGGTGGTGACTGCTTTGATCAGTGGGTAAAACAAATACTGTAGCAGAACACTCCCAATTTTGTCATCTTTCCAGGGAAGTAAAAGTGGATGGTCCTTGTGAGTCCCTCTATGAGGCTGATCTTGGAGGCCAAAAGATTTCCTTGTCAGCCTGGCTTTCTGTGCTCTGCTCAGTGTTTCTTCCCTCTGTTTGCAGGTGGTCGAGGCAGTCCCAGAGCCAGATCACACTGTGGTGGAGAGCAGGCAGGAGGACGAGATGTACCTCAGTGCCTTTGTTAGCGACATCCGGTTCAAAATGGACATGGTTGTGATTCAGTTCAAGGACACCTTCCCCTACTATGAAAGGATGGCCACGTGAGTGCTGGAGGCCAGGCAGAGCCCTGTGAGCAGGAGCTGCCTTTGCCCAGGGCTGACCCAGTGCCTTTGTCCCAGAACTCTACCCCAGCCAAAATCAGCACRGACCCATTTATSTGCACRYAAAGCCAAGCAGGAGAGGGTGGTCAGGAGTGGTTCAATGCCGCCATGCCTTTCTGCCAAGAACAGCCATGGGTTTGCTTTCATTGCATGTCACTTGTCCTCATCTGCTCAACAATTAAGTTTGCAGTCAAACCAAGATCTAAAGTCCAGAGTAAGCCCCTTAGCTTCAAKRTCCTGGGCACTGTGTCAGCCCTWTCCTCTTWAACTTCTAGACTTTGAAATACWTTTTTGGGCCACCCAGGACAGCAGTCTGAGCACAGCAGGGTTGCCTGGGGAACTGGAGTCCATCAGACAGTGTTACTGTTCTATTTGCGTTATATTCATTGGGTGTTTTCTTATTCCTCTTTCTTGCTTTTCAGTTTCACGATGCACAACACAGGGAAGGTACCCCTGGAATACTTCTGGGAGGAAGATGCACGTAAAAAACCAGTGGAGCATAAGCCATACTCAAGACCTCAAATGCGTAAGGGCATTTCAGTTGGTAGCTGAGGGCCTGGGGAGAAGACCTTGCTACTTCACCCCAAAAACCGTGAATTGCTTTTTCATTCTTGTCTACATATCCACTTACATCAGCATCYTCCCAGCTGCAGCTGGAGAGTTTCCGCCTTGCCCCCTCTGCCTTTCAGCCCCTTCTGTTCTTGCCCTGCCACTTGAGCTCTGCAAAGGAGCTGAGCCGTGCTCTGGGACGAGCCACATGCTAGGTCAGAACTGCAAAGGGGGACATCAGGTCATCTCTTTGGGAAGTCTGAGACTGGGAAAGATGCTGGTRTAATGAGTGAGCTGCCCTGCAGCCACTGTCTGTGTGCAAAGTCACTGTCTAAAAYCAACCCTCCTGCCCTGGCACAGGAGTGTGTGCTGCAGGCAGAGACCCTGCTCCCAGATGCTCTATTTCCTGCTGAAAGTACTTGGCCAGAAATGCTCCAAGTGTATTCCAGCTCTCTGCCACCCACCTGCAGCTGAAGGCAGAGTTGCTGGGAACATAGGATTTTGTCTTTAAAGATGTCATCTTCCTCTCCGCAGGTGACTTCCTCTGCTCTGCTGCTGTGGAGCGTCGCAAAACACTGCTGCGTCGTTTCTGGCAGAGGCAGGAGCGGCTGCAGCGGTGGCAGGARCGGCTGCAGCRGCAGCAGCARGAGCGGCTGCAGCAGTGGCTGCGGGACGAGCTGCCTTCCGAGCCCCGGTATTACGGGGAGGAGCCGCTGGATTCTGAGGAGGAGCTGCTGGATTTCGAGGAGGAGCAGCTGGATTTCGATGAGCACCTGTATTTCAAGGAGGAGCAGCTGGATTTCGAGGAGGAGCAGCAGGATTCTGAGCAGCAGCAGCAGGATTCTGAGCAGCAGCAGCAGGATACTGAGCAGCAGCAGCAGGATTCCGAGAAAGAGCAGCAGCCTCCCGAGGAGCAGCAGCAGCAGGATTCAGAGAAGCAGCAGCAGCCTTCCGAGGAGGAGCAGCAGCAGTCTGAGCAGCAGCAGCAGCCTTCCAAAGAGGAGCAGCAGCCTTCTGGGGAGCAGCAGCCTTTGGAGGAGCAGCAGCAGCAGGAGCCTTCCAAGGAGGAGCAATCCTCCAAGGAAGAGGAGCAGCCTTCTGAGAAGAAGCAGC